TGAGTTTCCCCCCCCGCCCCCCAAGCCCTGGTTAAGTAGGCTTTGTTGGTTGCCGGTCCATGGTTCCTTGGCTGACTGGGTGCTCTCTAACCTTCCTCTGCAGGGATGGGTGATAGCCACTGTGATAGATTAGACTGTGCATAATTAACTTTGTTTTACTGCTGGAGTAGGACATGCTTAAGCTTTCTAGATGAGTTGCAGCTTCTCTTTTTCTTACCCAAATGAGTAGGGGATAAGTCTCAAATAGTTCTTTATAGAGTTGATGGAGAAAATGAGGAAATGAAAATGAGGAAAATGAAGCTTAAAGAGATTTTTTTTGAACTTTACCATGAACTATTTCAGAAAACCAGTAGCAGCATCTTTGCAAGCAATTGGGTCTTAGATTTATACTTTGTCAGACAGAGCTGGGTATATGCACAGGGTGAAAATGAGAAGGTAGGTCACTCAGATTTGACAGCAGGTGGATTGGTACTATGAAATCCTAACCCTAGAGGACATGGTAGTACAGCAGAAACTTCATGTGCCTTGATGTTCTGCAGTACAAAGCAGAATATTGGTGTTTAGCACTTTATTACCTTGTTTTCCTAGCTTAGACAAATAATAATATAGATACTGCAATTTGTGGGAAAATATGCTAGTCTAATAGTTTCAGTTGTGCAGCTTGCATTATGGATAAAATATATGGATTTTGGGGTGGTGGTGATAGGGGAGGGGTTTCTTGCCTGCCTGAGGGAAGGCCAGTTTCTGTAGATAAGACAAAGATAAAAAGAAGCACTTTTAAGCCCCAGATACTGAGAGTAGATTAAATATTTTTTCACATTTATTTTATGAGTAGGGATGGGGAAGAAGCTTAAAATAAAGAACAATTTAACATGTTTACTAGCTAAATAAGGAAATAAAATTATTGAGTATTTCTCCCTTCACACTTAAACCAGAAAAAGCTAATGAATTAAAAATCAGAATATCAAAAAAAAATGTTTGAAACATTATTATAAGCAAAGTTTTAGGCCTTTTTAAGTAGCTCTGAACAGCAAAATTATCATTTTCCTTGATAAGCTGCTTTTCCTACAGATATACAAGATTCTTAAAGACAAAAATGTTGAGAATCTATTTCTTTAAACATTTAATGTAAAGCATTTAATATAATTGTAAATTTTTTCTTTTGGCTTTCCATGTTTTTCAGGATAAACTGAATAGCATTCTTGCAAAGATCCAGGCAAACATTGTATCCCAAGTTTGTTTTGTCATTCCAGATGTAATAAAGATTTTTCTTGTATTTTGTCTTTTAACTGCATTATTTTTAATTTAATTTTGAAATATTTTTTCTTTAGCTTGAAGCCATATCTTCTTATACTCTTACTCATTATCTTGTGTTATGTTTTCAGGATTTAAGGAGTCTTTATTTCTCCACATTTTAGCTTGATTTGCTAAGGAAGCAACTGTTCTTTCTGTGTATGTCAGTTGCTCAATTTTTAATCTTTCTGTTTGGCAGTGGTGTGTTGCTCTGTCAATTGCAATCTTAATGAGGCATAGTATTGGATGTTTCTTACCTGGGCACTCAACACCTAGGCAAGAGTAGTGTGTGTGGTAGAAGTAATGGAAAACTGGGGTTGTCAAAAGGCAAAAGTTTAGAAGACTTAAGATGCTTCAGTAGCAGCATTTTGTGGATTACAGAATATCACTTCAGATGTCTCAGTACTGAATATTGTTTTTTGGTAATACCTGGTGCTTTTATGATATTTGAAAGGAGTAGCAATTTTAAAATGTGATGTTTCTGGTAACTTGTGTTTTAATCTCTTGAAGGGCATTTTTGGGACCAAAGGATATATTCCCTTATTATGAAAATAAAGATAAATATGGCAAGCCAAATAAAAGAAAAGGTTTTAATGAGGGATTATGGGAAATTGACAACAATCCCAAAGTGAAATTCTCTCATCAGCAGGTAAGTGATTCAGAGTTTGTGCATACTTTAATCTTTGTTGTCATATTGTGAAAACGCAAGGATGACTTAGCTGCTATAGAGGAATATTTTATTGATCTGTGTCATTGACTTGCAGGTTGGACTAATATTGATATTGTTGTTTACAATTGATCTCAAATTTTCAGCAACATAAGTGAAGATGGTTCTTTTATATAATTGGGGATGTCATTTTACTATAGTAAAGTTCAGGAGGGATCGTGTTAATAGTTTCAGAGCACAAGGCTAAAGTTTTTAAAAGTTGAACACTTTTTTTATAGTATTACTCTCACAGTGCATATCAAGTTCTAAACATCTTAATTTTTAAATGTGTCTGTATAGTATCTTTGCCTTTATGGAGCCTTCATTCTTACTTTTTACCTTCTAAGCTGCAAGCATTTGCTCTCCACAAATACCCTGTAACATTTCAGTATGTGATATCTTAGTGTACTGTATCTTCCTTCCTGCTTCTAGTTGTTGGAAGTAATGTTACATTTCCTTCTTACCCTCCAAAACTGTTGCATAGCCTGTTTGAATAAATCCTTGTCTGTCAGTGATCCCTTGTTTCGTATTCTCCTGGTAAACCTTTGGGGCTTAAATTATAGCCATCTATCCGACCTCTTTTCCCCAGAAGTGCCCAAAGTGGGGGGGGGGGGAGAGAATACTGTCCCAAATTGATTTGTAACTTCATCTCTTGGCCAAAGATCTTGTCAAGTTGTGTTTGACTCAGAACTCTTCCATTTCTTAAATTGCACTTCAGAAAATGTTCCCCTGCAGTATTTGTAGTCTGAATATAAGCTGCTGTTAATGCATGAGAGATTGAAAGTTAGATAATGAAAATACTGTCACTTCTCAATTTAAACTGAGAATTAATAAATTAAATAAGACATTTTAATATTCTTGCAGCTTTAACCAGAGGTTACTTTGATCTACAGATACTTATGGATGACTGCAACTTTTAATATCTGTAGTTAATATTTTTCTGTAGTTTCTGAAGGTGTTTAAATTTCAAGTGTGATATTTTTGTATTGAAGTCCCATCCAGCTGTTAACAGTGCTGTCAAAGAAACCATTCGTGAATGTTCTCAAGAGCCTACTGAGGGGAGTGAAGAAAAAGGAGGAGCCAAAAGGAGGAAGTCTATTATTTCCAACGTGAGTGACTAAATGAATTAGGTTTGTTTTATCAGAAAACCTTTTAAGTTAAAAATGTATTGCCAAATTCAAACGTACTTTAAACTAGCAGCATGTTGGTGTTGTGACTATTGTCTTTTACTTGTTTCCAGGCTTGAACATTATAATGTTTTTGTCCTTCTGTAGTGCTTTTAAGGTGTAAATATTTTTGAAACTGAATTTCTTTACAGATCTATTTTTCAAAGTCAGAATACACGTAAAATTTATACAGCATTTTTAGCTAAGGGAAAGGGGAAATGATTGTCAAGATGTAGTATTTCACAATTTCTTTTTGATGGCTGTTTAATAGCTTGAACAGCTCTTTCTTTAATTGTGACATCTTTTTGCTGAAAAATCTAAAGCAACATTAGATTCTGTCTAGGCTAAGTACTCTTTTTCACTATATATATATATGTTTTAAGAGTAAATTTAAATTACTACACAACTCCTTAATACGAATGCGCATAGAGTTTTTAATATTTGTATCAAATTCTGTGTTGGGAAGTTTCTATCAGTGACTGGTATTTACTACCTCATGTAGACAAAGTTTCTCTTTTGGCTTGCATAAATGTGTTTTATTTTAAAATCCTACTGATACTAGATTGTGTTGTTTCAAAATATATTGTACTTCAGCTTAAACTACGTTTGTCTGAAATATCTACTGTTTATTGCTGCTGTATGTAGCCTCTACTACAACAGAGGGGGGAAAAGCTTTCTACTTCACTATGCATTTGATGTTACAGTGTAACAAACTACTTTAGATTTACGTCCTTAAATGTTTGGCTCTGTTCATGTGATGTACACATACACTCACACACACACACATGTACACAGAGTATGGAAGGTGTGTTTTCATGAAGGTGTTGATGGTATGTGTGTTCTAAATAATCCTAAAATTGCAAAACTAGGATGGTAGTGAGGATGGTACTGATAAATTTGTAGTATCTAAGTTATTTCTAACTCATTTCTGGAAACTACTATATTACAGGATATCAGTCTCCTTTTATTTTAGGAGTTAAACTCTTTCAACAATTTTAGATGCTACGCTGATGTCAAGAGTTCTGTTGTTACAATGAGTTGGTGGTAGGAAGGAGACTGTAGGTATGTCAGGATTTCTTATTTTCTAGATTCAACTTCTTGTTGCTTTGAGTTTTCCTTAATTGAATGTTTCTAAGGACTTCCCTCCTATGCATTAGGGGCACATTTTGATATGTAATTTTTTGTTAGTATTACTTAATCTGTTGCTGCTGCTCTTTCATGCCATTGTACTGTGCTGACACAAGCATTTTTTTATTCATGTGAGGAGTTGACCCTGCTTCCCTGCTTTTGGGGGGATGGTGGAAACAATTTTTTTTTTTAAGCTGAACTGTTTCACTGGGAAGCTGCGCAAAGCTTGTGCAGTGCTGGGGATGGCAATGGTTTTAAACCCACAAGTATTTTTTCAAACTGTTGCAAATTTGTGCTGCCAAGGGGAAGAAGCAGAGAAGCATGTAGAGCCCTTTAAATTAGAAGATGGAATGATAAAGAGCCTGAGGGGCACCTTTTGCATAGATCTCTACAATTAGTCTTTTAATCAGCTAATCAAAGGCAAGTTAAGGACCAGATGTACAAGTTGTGCATCTGCGTGCCTCGGACCCTGTGGCACTCTGCGGTGTCTTCGGGGTTGCACACGCTCTGTGGCAGCTGGGGGTCACGCACGCTCTGTGACATGCTCTGCGGCTCAGGGTTGGGCTCTGGACTCTGGCTCGCGCCTGTGCTCTGTGGCGCACTTGGTGTCTGACTCAGTGGCATGCTCTGTGTCTTGGGGTTGCGCGTGCACTGTGACTTGCAGTCGCTTGGGGTCGCGTGTGCTCCGTCTCTGTCTCTGTCTCCCTCCCTGTCTCTCCCTGTTGGTCTCTGTCTCTTTCTGTCTCTGTCTCTATCTCTGTCTGTCCCTGTCTATCCCTGTCGGTATCTGCCTCTGCCTCTGCTTCTCTCTCTGCTTCTCTCTCTGGCTCTCTCTGTCATTCTTGGTCTCGGTCTCTGTCAGTCTCTGGCTGTTTCTCCTTCTTGTTCTGTCTCTGCCTGTCTTAATCTGTCCCTCTCTCTCTGTCTGACTCTGTCTCTCTCTGTCTGTCTGTCTCTGTCTGTCTCTTGCTGTCTCTGTCTCTCTCTGTCCCTCTCTCTCTCTCTGAGTCTGGCTGTCTCTGACTCTGGCTGTCTCTGTTTCTGGCTGTCCCTTGCTGTCTCTGTCTCTGTCTGTCTCTCTCTGTCCCTCTCTCTCTGTCTGTGTCTTTGTCTGTCTCTCTGTCTCTACCTGTCTCTGGCGGTCTCTGTTTCTGTGTCTGTCGCTTTCTCTGTTCATCTCCATCTCTGTCTCTCTGTCTATCTCTGTCTCTCTCTGTCCCTGTCTATCCCTGTCTGTCTCTATCTGTCTCATTTTCTGGCTGTCTCGTTTTCTGGCTGTCTCGGGCTGTCTCTGTCCCTGTCTGTCTCGGGCTGTCTCTGTCCCTGTCTGTCTCTACCTGTCCCTGTTTCTCTCTCTGCCTCTGTCTGTCTCTCTGTCTACCTCTGCCTCTGTCTGTTTGCCTCTGTCTCGTTCTGTCCCTCTCTGTCCCTCTCTCCTTGTTGGTCCCTGTCTCTCTGCCTGTCTCTCTGCCTCTGTCCCTGTCGGTCTCTGCCTCTCTCGTTCTGTCTGTTTCTGTCTCTGTCCCTGTCCCTCTCTGTCCCTTCCTGCCCCTCTCTGCCCCTCTCTCTCTCTGCCCC